GTGTTTAAAATGGCAGAACTAACGCAATGTCTAACTCCCAGTGGTCATTGTTAGTCAAATATACGAATAAATAACTCTTAATTTCAAATGTTCTGCCAACACATATGATGTATGGTTGATACATGCCAGTGTTTACTCCTCAAGAAGTAGAAAAAAGAAACATCAAATCTTATGTTTATATTTTTACAAGACAAAAAAATCCTTGTGTGATGTATTTGGAAGTATTATTCAGTAAAATATTATTGCACTAAGTATATAAAAGTTCAAATTATTAAGTATATTTTCATTCATACTAGTCATTCGATTAATGTGTGCCACTTGTTTATTTATTAGATATTTCTCATGCATTCAAACACAAAAGGAAAAGATATTTTAGAGTATGATGTGTCCAGTGACATTCTTTGAGACAACTCTGTCTATATGGCCCAACCAAGACTAGAAAAGTAGGAAATGACCAGCACCATCCTGAGGTTCCTCTCACTGCATTCGACTCTAAACACAGTAAAAACTTCAGCTGAATGTCCACTTTATTTATACAGCACATTTAGAAACAACAGCAGTGGATAGAAGTGCTTCACAATAACACCAACAATCATAAAATGGTAAATAGAATAAAACTTTCAAAATAAACATAAAGCTGATGACTCTCACTGTCCAAACGGTGGTCAAATGTGTGGCTCTGATCATTAAATGGCAATTAAGGATGAAATTAAATGGAAAAACCTTCATACTCTGCCAAACGTACTTCGGATCACATTATTTGAGCCTCGCGTCAGGTGAGGAACAGAATCAGAACTGAATTAAAGCTCCTGCGGCTTACTCTCCTCGGTATACTACGATGTTCTTATCCGTCTCGTGAATCCGGATCTCGTAGAGCAAGCTGGCGGGAAGAGCCTTCGCCATGTTGTCCCAGATGTAAATGGCAAGGTTTTCCGTGGTGCTGGTGAGCGAGAGGAGAAATGTCTGGTGAAACATGTGTATCTGCAGTCACGAGAGACGATCAGGGAAGGTTACAGACCTCACAACGTCGGCAAAGTACGGAACGTCCTTATCCAGGTTTTTGTGGTCCAGAGGAATCATGATGACTTCCTGTTGGATGAACAGGGCGGTGTCAGCCAGATTTCCGTACCACAGCAAAAATCACAACAACAACAAAAAAAGGAGAAGTAGGAAAAAGCTTACAAGGAACAAGGATAAGATTCAAGAGCTGAATGGAAGTTCCTTGTTTGATGGTCCAAAGTTCTCTTTTCAGATTAAAGTAAATTTTAAATTTAATTTGTGAATCAAGGTTCTAGAGTCTGACCACAAGTTTCCTGAGGACTCAAGGGGAATTTCTATGGTCAGTGACTAACACTAGCACAGCTGTTTGGTAGTAACATTTTAAAGCATTTATATCTGATGATAAACTTTATGTAGATCCTGATTTAACTTTGCGGCAGGCAAGAAAAGTCAACAAAAAGTACCAATAATCCAAATACCAAATGCTAAAAGCTTAGCACTATCCCACTACTAACCGTGTTACACAATAAAACAAGTTTTGTTGTCTTTTATTAAGACATTTCTGCCAAAGACCACTTAAAGACACTTGACTATCATTCTTGGCTTCTGTCTGTTAAAAAAAAGTTAGTTATAAGTCCAAGTCGAAGTCTTACACCATTAGCCATTAACTTTAGCATCTCAGTCATGGAGATTTACATCAGATGTGAGGATTGTTAGCGGCAAAATCTAGCAAGTAACGCTGGTCATAATGATTTAAACGTAAGTGAATTATGAAGAGAAAAATGCAGATTTACTGTATATCAATATATGCAGATTTACTATATATCAATTTCAGAAAAACTAGTTGCCATTTAATTTGTAAAATGTGTTAATTTTCTTCAGCTCAAGATGTTGTGTTTACAGTGACCTTACCTCAATACACCTCTTCAGGTCCGTCAGATTCATGACCATGCCGGTGACGGGATCAATCTGGGAACACGTGTCACATGTAAAGATGGTTTTATCTACCTGGTTGTGATTACATAGTTGTTCCTTCAGTGGAACTACGACCTTTTATCAGAAATATTTGCGTGATACTCACTTTTCCACGTACAGTCACCTCTACTGTGGAGTAAAATGAGAGCAAGCAGGTGAATCGGTAGAAACGGGAACAGAATCCGTGCTTTATTTGAGACTATATTTGGTTTATGTAACAGCAGGACAAACCCTTGTAGTTGTGTCCATGACCGTAGGGATTGTTGCACTTTCCGTAGACTTCTTTATTCTCCTCGTCAGTCAGGTGAAGACTACAAGAGGTTGCAGAGAATATCTGAATTAAAACTCCTGGAGTCAGATTTGTTTTGGTTTTGTTTTTGCAGTTTTTAAGGCGAGGGAGGGGTTAGAGATTTTGTACCGTGTTAGTGCAGGTCAAACAAGAAAAAAATGTGGCAAGGGGTTATTGACATATGTTGCATTTAAGAACATTTCATATATTACAACTTAATAGATTTATATATGATTTAGAACTGTACTTCTTTAAAAAAAAATTGTGCTAATTTAAAAAGGTTAAAGGTGATCATTTAAATCAAATAATACAAATGAAATCAATTGTAGTTTTACATGACTAATAATTGTTATTTTTACTTTGCTTTGAACAAAATAAATTTTTGATAAAAAAACTGGAACGATGCAATTCATGTAAACGTATTTGTACGTCTAATACATGTAAAAGATTAATTTATTTTTAATACAATAAGGCTAAAAATATCATCTTAAACTGTTGTGAACTATCATAAAGCTATTATATAGTGGCTGATGACGTTATTAAAGATAGTTTGCACAAAAAAAGTACATATTTGCTTTAAATTTTATTTGTTTAATGGCTGTAATAATTTCCTGAAGAGGGTTTATATTTTACGACGCTATCGACTGCACCTAAATGCATCATTAAAGCTTTGCACGTTTATCTGAAAGACGACAATTCCGAAATGACTTGTTCCTACCTGCGTTTTCTTTAAAGCAGTGAAAGTATAAACTCCTCCATAGTTAATTTTGTGTCCCTGTTTTATATAAGCTCTGTTTATTGAAATACGCCGACTTGTGCTGTCACAGCCAAAGCATCGCGAGTTTCTATGTAGTTAGACGGGATTTTCCGCATATTCTATCGCTTATCAGGAAAACCAGCGGTCTTGTTTCATCCAAACTCTTTCTATTCTGTCACTTTAACCTCCGTTTCGTGTCCACTATGGGTTTCTCCTACGTCGTATCCCTTCAGACACAGCGGTAGTAGCTGGGGTACCTGTGGAGCCGGTGGCAGGCGCTGAAGCTCTGGACTCGGGTGATGTATCCTATGCGCTCCGCTGGAGGATTCCCGGAGGATTCGGCCATGTTTGGCAGAAGTGGAGGATAGAGACTAACCGCTGATACCGAACAGAGAGGAGATCCAGCCGGCTGTCCACACCGTGTCTCACGCCGCCCGTGATTGGCTCATTTCAGGGCGTAAATACGGCTCACATGGCCGCATGAGTGTCAAACCTGGAGCCGAACGTGATTGAAGCACAGCGAACCACATACGGGCTGTTTACCGAGTCGTAAAGAAATCTTTGTTCGAAATGTTTCCTCCGTGGTATTTCTGCGGAGTCATTTTCCACTACTTGAAAGAAAAACAAACCGATACATTGTGTCGGAACGGAGACTAAAAAGTCCTGATTATGAGGGTAATAAAAGAGAGTCACAATTAAGTCTTTCAGTTTCTACCAAGTCAGATTTAGTGTTTGATCATGTCCATAACTTCAATTTAAAATGACTTTGACCTTATCACCGTAATAACTGTTTCTAACAACATTTTCACACTTGTTTCACGCTTTAAGTTCACATGCTGGCTCTTAAAGCTCTACAGTCGTCATATGAGAGTCACCAGATGGTTTCCGCTCAGATTTAGAATTACTCCTTTCATTCATGCATTTTTTACCCGGTTCATCCTTGTCCATAAATCTTATTATACACTGCTCAAAAAAATAAAGGGAACACTCAAATAACACATCCTAGATCTGAATGAATGAAATATTCTCATTGAATACTTTGTTCTGAACAAAGTTGAATGTGCTGACAACAAAATCACACAAAAATCATCAATGGAAATCAAATTTATTAACCAATGGAGGCCTGGATTTGGAGCCACACACAAAATTAAAGTGAAATGTTCCCTTTATTTTTTTGAGCAGTATATTATTGTATCTTATTAGATTAAACAAAGCCATCTGTATTTTTTTTAATCCTTCCATCTGTAATTTACCAGAATGCTGCAAGACACTAACAGGACTGTTCTTTGACCTGTTAGGAGCTTTAGTTTATGCTTCCTAATAGCAGAAAAAAAGAATGTGTCCCCGAATAGAAGCCCATGAGTTCATATTTCATTGTGACAACGCTGTCTTTTTGCCATGGCAACGTTGAGAAATGACATGATGTAGCTGCTGAAAAATTATTGTCCCTTCAGTTTCATATTCCTTTAAATATGGTACAAAATATTTAAAATTTTAAATATTCTTTTTAAAATTATAGACTTTATGGTGCCACCTTAAAAAAAAGATCTTTTGATATATTATAAATAAGAATGTTTTTGAGATTTTGAAATATACATTGCCATATAATAGCATATAAAAGAAATCATAAATCTTCAAAATTAAGCAAAAAACAAACAAAAAAAACCGCTGGACGAGTGAAGTTTACTCATCTGGCCACTAGATGGTGATAGAGGACCTTGAGATTGTTTTTCTTTTGATACCTTTCCAAATTAAACACCTTTTTATTTTTTATTGTAGAAATCACCAAGTGTTTGCTCAGTTTTTCTCTTTGGCAGAGAGATTCTGTCAAACACTGTAGGGAACTACCCAGTTCAATAGCCAGACATTCACTTAAAAAAAAGCCCAAAAAACCCTACTTTTCTTTTGTTTTTCTTAATTTGCACAAAAATGTAGAGACTGTCATCTTATAAGAAACAGAAGGAAAAACAAAACGCGGTATTTCATGACAATTCACCTGTTTTTATTTGTGCACATACATCACAGAGTGTTCGTATGTACAAACATTTCATAGTTCCATATGTACAGTAATCACTGAAGCATCACATGAATACAAAACAAGTTAAAGCCTGCTACATATACTTTAGACCCAGCATTATTCACATTCAAAAAACAAATACATTGTATTTATATGCACACTTCAATCCAGATGATGTCACATTTGGATATATTTCACTGGCCTGCCATATCATAGTTTACACAATAAATCACCAAAATCGGTATAAAAAGAGATTAATACTGCTATAACTTTTGTGAGAGATAGGAAAGTTTGTTGTGTAAGCTTACACACATTGACATTAACATTATATTTGGCTAAATATATGAAATTGCTCTTTGAAGATGTTTCTTTTTTGCAAACGAAAACATGACACAGGACTATTTTTTTAATAGCTGAGAAATAGAATAAAACCCTAAAAATATAAATACAGTATAATGTGTTTTGTGACACCTTCAGATTAGGTTCAGTGTAAGGAAACACCAGGACGACAAGTGAACCAAATGGAGTAATTCCCTTACCTTTATTAAAATGACATTATGTCAACTTGTTCAAATTATGTCAATAAGTCCACAAGCTAGTGAGATGTATACCACCTTCTTTTTAAGCAGATTTTAGCAACTTAAATTATCTCGAAGTAAAAATATTTATATCGCTAGAATACAGCGCTAATTAGGGAATATTAACAGTCTCGGCGTTTCACATCAAACACTTGCTACGTCCGTGTACTAACGCTGACTGAACGTGGCGGCTGCAGTACCTTACCAACTCCGCTACACCCCTCCAGTGCAGTCTAACTCCATCGAGAATAAACATTTCCATGTACGAAGATGTTTGTTTTTGTGCTTTCAGGGTTTTATACTTGTTTGGAAATTACCCCGGGCTTTTCCATCTGCTGTTCCCCCACATCAGCGGTCGAAGCTAACAAGTTACAACTAGCTTGTTAGCTTCGATGCATTTCATTTTTCCACGTGCTCACAAGGGATTAAAAAGCAATTTACTTCAAAGAACCTTAATTAATAAACTCTAAGCTAACCCTTTACGGTTCCTGTGGAATTTAACTGTAACCATACTCATAAATGGTAGGAAGATTTTAAAAAGGTAAACTTTTTACAAAAAATTCTGGTATTTTCTTAACATCTGCATAGTGCTAAATATGCTGACTACATCCTGTACTTACATAATTCCCTCTTAATAGGGAAAAAATAATTGTTCCTGGACCCATAAGGACTTCTTTCAGTAATCTGTCCTGCACACTACCCCATGTTTCACAATGAGCAAACACACCCACACATTAGCACAAGATAATAAAAAAAGTCAGGAAGCAGCAACTGATTACAGTTCAGTACTTCTAATAAGTTTTCATTCCTTGCATCAAAAGTACTATGGTAGTTTGGAGATTATAAAGAAAAACACTAATTCTGCATCACTTCACTTTTACAGTCACAATTTGAAGGAATGTCCATTTTATCACAAGAACGCACAGATTAAATTCACGGAGAATTCTGCCTTTAAATTATATGAAGGCAGAATAGTTTGGCTTGTGGTTGTGAGGAACCTCTATGTTTTTTCACATAGACATAAAAGTGCCAAAGAAGGCAGCAATGTTCCAAAGTACAGGAGGCTATGAAACACTTTTGCACATAAGAGATATTGTAAATTATAATGTGAAGATAATTCACAGGAAAATGTGAATTATCTTCACATAATCAAAGATTAAAAAAAAGGCAAATTACAAGTCTGTCTTTTCACAGAAGATGATGGATGCAGTAGATATAGAGGTTGCAGTGATTGGTTCTGGGTGGACACTACATGAGGCTTTGAGTGAATCACTAGAAGGAGCCAATGAACTCCACGTTTTTCACAGATAGGCTGTCTTCCATGTTACCATGAAGTTAAGTTCTAAGTTCCGCTTTCATTTCCTTCGCTCCTTGTGTTGAAATCAGTATTTTTGCAGAAATTGAGAAGGATTCAAAAGCACTTTTCACGAGCCAAGGCTGAGATGCTTTTTATACTGTCTCTGTGTGACCTTGGGAAAGACCATAGCAGCATTGGAGACCTGCTGCTGTTGCTCCTTAAAGCCGATAATGGAGGTAGTCGGAGAGCCGAGTTTGCGGTAAAAATGCGATGGAGGTTGGGGTTTGGAGCAGCGTTCCATCGTAACCAGTGATACAGATGTCTGTTGCTGGTTTGGCAATGCCAGCTTCTTTAAGATAAGTGTCACAGTGGGTGGTTGGCTCAAGTGGCTCGTGAGTAAAAGTCTTTGTGGCTGCATCACATAACCGTTTTGTGCACAGAATTTAAAGCTAGGGTTAGAGTCTTTACCACAAACCCCAGAGAGATATAGGCAACTAAATCCTTGCCACATAAACTGGAATTTCTTTTTTCTGTACAGGTAATACAAGTCTCGGTAGAACAAACTGCATTTCTAAAACCATTTTCCCATCCCCTGAAGTTGGCTCATTCTACTTGGAGAATACATTAATTGTCTGAACTCCAATTTGTTTGGATTTTACCAACTGAGTTCAGAACTGGCTCTCTTCCAGAATCTCTTCCATCGTCTCCCCCAGCGTCATCTCACCATCACTACTGGAAAGACTCTTCCTGGTAAGAAAGTCGAGCCCTGCTGAGTCGTAGCCCTCAAGTCCCTGGCCTTTAAGTGGCCCGAGTCCAAGAGGCCTACTTCCCCCTTGCACAACCACCTGGAGGAGGTGTGGGCGAGCCGTCGAAGTGGCGCCTTCGCCATAGGAGTCAAACTGCCGAGAACGCTTCCTGTGCTGCCGCCGGGTGCACTTCCAAAGGTGCTTGAGATTTGCTCCTCGAAAACAGGTCCGGACCTTGAAGTGGTTTGTGAACAAAAACAGTTGCCAGCGCTTTTTCAGCTCAGTTTGGACCTACAAGAAAACAGCATTTTTGGTACATTACTACACCATGGTATTCGCTGCAAGTTTGAGTCTTTTTCTGTAACTTTTTACATAAGCAGCTAAATTTCTCAGTAGTAAGTTTGATTACAGTTTTGTAGCTGTGTGCTTGTACAAATGACATTTCTCTTTGGAGAGTAGCCCTCCCTCTCACATTAGCAGTAAGCTACAAGTAACTTAAAGTTTTTAGAGCTGTAACAGGACATCTTAAATGTCCGGGAGAGTTATGACACATTTGGCTTCCCGTATGTCTACCCCTTGCACTCCACTGAAACCACTGATCACAATCCAGAACCGCTTTCAGACTATTGATTACAAACTGTTTGGTTGGTTCTAAGCTCATGTCTGTCATTATTATTATTAGCTTTAGTGTGGGAACATTACCACCTATCATGGCGGATACCAAAATAAAAGAAAATTTGATCTATTTTTTAAAAAAAAGTTTATTGCTGATATTTTTTCCATATAATTTGCGTCCACCAAACTGTGATGGCATAGATTGATACATGTACTGCTACACCCAACCTAACTACACCTTCCTCATATAGAACGATACTGTGACCAAAACCATACCTCTCCATTAGCAAAACAGTACAGGACAGCAACCAAGAATCCCTGAAAAATGCATGGGGCAAATTTTAGAGTAGGATGATGTTGGTGAACAAAACCAAAATGAACTCTCTGTGTACAAAAATGATTGTTTTGGTACTACCTGGAAGGAACTGAGGGTGAGATTAATGAAGTTCCGGGCATAGCGGCTGCTGCCCTCCATACATTCGTCTATCAGCACTGTGAAGACCACTTCATGGATTCCCAGCAGGGGAATCAGCACCAACGTTGCCCTTGCCAAACTGCAGAGTACAAACAGGCCGATCAGATTCATTATAATTTAGCTAGGCAGAATATACTGCAGTAGAAAAAGGAAAGAAGTTTCTGAAGTATGTACACTGGTTTTGTTCCCTTGGTGACATTTACGCCCACAATTTATGGGTGTGACATTTAAATTTGTGATGTGGGATTAACACTTTACCACCATATTTACATCAGGAACCTTATATACATTGGAGCTAAATGTCAACGTCAAACTTATTTTCCGAGAGTTGGCTCCAGCGGCTTGAGTACCTGTATCTGTAGTCGGTGAATTTCACCTGATCGGCTTTCAGCTTCGACAACAACAGCATCAGAATTTTGATGAATATGAAGAAAATGACCTGCAAAAACATATTAATGGTATATTTAAACGCATTGCATTGGACTAAAGTGTAAAATGATCAATAATGTCAAACATGACAGGTAGGACGCCTTTATTAGCAATAAAATAGTAAATATCAAATATGCTTGTGATTATAGCTGCATCACCACATCGTCACATGATTCTCCTTTATAGCAACCATCCAGATTAAGCAAAGCATTGTTCAATCAAACAGAAATCTAGTTAGTTTCTGAAGTCAACTTGACCACAGAGTGGCCTGAGGAACATCCCTTACCAGCACTGACAGAGTAATCGGGCCTCTTATTATCCACCAGAACCATCTGTTCATGATTGACCAGCACCTTGAGAAAGAAAGAAGCGCCAAGTGTGAACGGAGGGCATGGTAATCATTTCAAGGAGAATCTTGGACTCCATGCGTTCAAACACTCACCCTGTGTTTTCATACAGAATCTTAACCACGGTCCACGGCGTCACGAACAGGACGGGAGTCCCTGGAACATGACAGAAGCAAGATATGCTGATTTCCCAGAGTACATCAACTTAGAGTTGGATCTTAGAGGCTTTAGATATGTCAATTCTGTTACAGTGCAAATATTTTTGTCTTTAGTTGTTATGCGTTTACTTTTAAATGATTTTATTCAGTGATACAAAGGTAATAAAAAGTAAGAAAATGTCTCGTAATCATGAGTTCTTCCAGGCGTAACAGGGTGTAAATTCAGGAAGGCTCTTTGGGTGTTTAACCAACGGACTGTCCAACAACGCACAATTGATGGTGATGTAAAGAGCCCAATGACACCAATTCTACATAGTAATTATAAAAGTATAGACTGACATTTTTAAAGCCTTGCTTCCCCGTAACAAAGCCTGCACGCGCCCATGACTTACCCCATCCTAGCAGAATGTATTTCTTCAACAGGCACCTCTTGGTCAGCACTGCAGTGAAGAGCAGCGTGTGAAGGAAAATGGCCTCCACCAAGAGCCAGAAATAATTACATGCCACAAAGTACTCCATGCACACTTTGGAGAACTTGCACAGCAGCACTATCTGTTGAGGGAGAAGATCGAGCTGAAGCGGTACGTTTTGGACGAATGAGGCAAAAGTTGTTCGAGTCAAACTTGCTTCTACATGAAAAACAAGGCAGCGCTAAGAGTACCGCAGAGCTGGAGTAGGAGTTCCACCCGGGGTCGTCCTTGGGCAGGTTGGAGTACATGAGATGGAAGATGATTTCCTTCGAAATGACGGCGGCCGCCCGCAGGATGAATGACACAAACAGGTTCATGTGGATGTAGTTTCTGGTGCAGTGGAGCTTCCTGGTAAGCAGATACGGGAGCATTGATCGGAACTTCCTGCGCAACTCTAACAGCATTAACCAGGGCGCTGGCCGTAGCGTAGGAGGAAATGGAAATAATGGAGCTACAGGTAAGACTGCCTCGTGGTTCGTAACGTTGTTAGTAATGACTGATCAGCTCAATGGTCTTGTTAATCACTCGCTGCTGTCGCTCTCCGTATGTTTGAAGCGAGTGAATGCGCAGCACGGCCCCGCTAAAACACAGATGAAAATTACAACTTCCACGCATAGACAGGCTTCTTCGAAAAGGCCAAAATCCATTTTCCCTTAAAATGACCGCGGTGGGAAAGACGGTTGGTGTTTCTATAACCTCTGACCCAGAGTTTGTCTTCCAAACATTCAAAGTTGAGCTAAAGTACCGACTTCTCCAATGAAAATGCTAACTTTATCTGTATGACTAACGGAGCCACCCTCCAATACCTACTGACCTCAGCATGCCCATGAGGAGAGTGGCCAGAATGAGGGAGAACAGCGACAGGGAATAGCCAATGACTGAGATGAGCCGGAGGGCGGAATGGCGCAGCAATTCGTCCTCCTGGATGCAAAATACAAGAGATTTAACGCTCTAACAATAATCTAATTGTCATGAAATTGGCTTGTAGATTAATTTGTAAAGACAAAGTGAAATTTGAAAGAGTAACGGTTCTTAAAACAAAGGAAAATCCCACTACCTTGTCTTTAAAGTATTGGTCCTCCTTACATTCAGAATCATCTCGCCAGGGATCTGAGGAGTTCTCCATCTTTCTCCAGCTGCCGTTCTCCAAGCATTCCCGATACGCCCTCCTGTTGCTGTCTGAAGGAACATGAGAAAAAGCGCAACAAAAACGGTCAATGTCATTTTTGACACAACAAATCGATGAGAGGAAAAAACTTTCAATGCATTTCAATGAGCTCTTTAGCTGCTGATGGGTATTTACACAAGTTTTATCGGGTAACGGTGTTTAAAATGTTGAAAAGAAAAAAACCAAAGGGGTTGGAAATAGAGTACAGACCACTTTTTTCAGTGTTAACATTTAAGCGTAATAAATTTTAGGTGTAGGAAACCCTGAACGTTAGCCAACCTAAGGCAAACGTAGATTTGAAAATAATATTTTTAAAAGTTTTAAACATCCATATGCACTAAAGACACTCGTTCCTGAGAGGAGAAAGCGTGGTGATAAACGGCGACACCCGTTCAAAACGAATCAACGGTGAAAGGAAGCATGGGAACTCAGACTAACAGATTCATCCTCATAGATCAGATTAGGTGTTAAACACGTTACCCTCGGTGATCCACGGTAAGAAGGGAGGACAGGGGACAGACACATTCCCTGGAGATGAATGGGGCCAGCACACAAACGTATCGAAACTTCCTTTACAGTAGTTGCCTAAAAAAAGAAAAGGAACATTATGTATAGGAAGTCCGTCTGAGATGCATAAATCACCACCGTTTGCTCACCATTTGCTGGAAAAGGAGCAGAAGTCAGGGTGCTGTTGCAGTTTTCCCAGTACTCCGTGCGTTTAGAAATGAGGCTTTCGAGCAACGAGGCTGTCGCTTTCTGCAGAGTCACAGCAAAAGAAACTCAAAGCTGGGTTTCTCAATGTTTTATTGGAAAACAATTTCCAGGAATTGGATAAAATAAATATGCCTTTACTTTCCACTTCCTAAGGTAACAGTAATATGCACTCATGACGGGTGTTTTTATTTTTCTGGCAAAATCCCACTGAAAGCGTCGACAGTGATGATGATTAATTAGAAGGGATCGAAATACAACATGAAGCTTTTTGTGGAAAGGTTTTTGTTTTCCACTAAGGCAGCTGGAGTTTTTATTGTGACGCTTTTGAAAAGGTCTTAAATTGTTCTAAACGTGAAGAAATGAAAATCAAAACCTTGAAAAGCGAGAAGTGTGGCTGTTGATTATAATTTGGAAGCATTTTGCACACAAATAAGCGTGTAAAATGTATAGTTCCCCCCTGCGTCACGACAGAATTACAGGCAGAGTTACTTTAACTTCATTTCTCCTTCATTTTTAAATTTTTCCAAATTGCATGATGGACTGATCATCCCAGACCATCATAAACAGCTTATATTCTCAAATGGTCAAATATTTACCAGCTGAATCAGAATAGCTTTAATTTGACTTGAGATTAGCTAATGTTGTAATTCAGTTGTTGCCTGGACATTTAAGCAGCATTTACATGAATTAGATATTGACAGTGCATAGTTCGGTAAACACGAGGTTCAGAGACGGGACAGATGGTGTTTGAGCTCAGGATACCAGGAGGAATAAATTGATTGGTCCGACATTTTATATTCCCCAATGCATCTGAAATAACAAATTCCTTACTGACTTACATAAAAAATAATCAGAATCCCTGTTTGGAAGTATGAAAATAAAAGGAACCAATGATCACTTACAGTGAATAAGGTGCCAGTTAAGCAGCTGACCGATAGCAAAAGCAGATGGTCTGACTTTTTGACCAGATAATTCCAGCTTGATTTATTATTCTTACGCTACAAAGACTTGAATTGTAAAGAGGTAAAATATATTCAATAATATATGCAATAGGTTAATGAAAACTCTAAACTTATCAAGTGTTTATTCAGCATTTTAAATAAATTCAGGTGAATTTGAATGTATTCTTTAAGTGTGGAAATGAAGCACAATTAAGCCCTGTGTCACATATTCTAGTATTAAAGGCTGAAACCTTCCTGCAGCCAACATCTAATTTACCTTAATTTACTTGTGAAGATCAAAGCAATATATAAAACGTGAAAAGACATTAATTCCAGTCGGTTGTCTTGTAAAGGTGTAACATGTTATCTACAGGCAACAATCAATAGCAAACTCATTTAAAACTTTCTTTATATATACTTTCATATTTATGATTACTTGTACTGTAAAGTGTTGATGCTATTGAATATTTAGCAAATGGTTATGAAATAAATGTTCAAATTGAAATATATATATATATTTCTATATATATATATTTATTTATTTTTTTAATTAGATAGTTTTTCTTTGCTGGCATCAGTAAAGGTCACATCTTGGTGAAAAACACTCAAAACATAAAATGGTGGGTTTTTCCAGTAGATTTTTGTATCAAAACCCGGACAAAAGTCCTTACAGATGTATATTATTTAACATAAAAAGTGTATGTAAAAAATCTGCAAAAAACTTCAAATAAATAGGTGTTACTAATTCCCAACAGATCAAAAAACATGTTTTTGTCTTGATGGGACATTTCTGTGTTTTGTTTCATTGACTGATCTCATATAAATTGATTCTGCAGTATCTAAATTGGTCCACTAGGTGGCAGTGTTTGATCAGGATGGATTTCAGCGGCAACGCGAAAACTGAGACCAATACTCAGACCATTTACCAAATGATCTCACTTAAAGATGAATGCCAACATTTTTTCTCATACTATTTGTGTAAATGACATTCATTATAATTCTGGCTTGTTGTGTTTGACCTGGTTTGATTAAAAATCTAAGTTCCTCTCGTATTATGACCAGGCAGTCCTGATTTTCTGTTTCTTGTGAGGTTAGCGCAAAGGCAGCATCTAAACCTCAAACGCTGAGGCTCACTCGGATCTCTGTTCTGCTAGAAAGTTCATGTGTGAGCCGATTGATAGAGCGCAGCCTGATCCAAAACTCATTGACAAAAACCATTCAGAAGGAAAAAATAACCAAGACCTTTCAGTCTGGTATTCCAATAGGAGATTAAACTTACACATCAATGTATAGTATAATGGGAGCTCTTTCACCTAAAAAATGTATTCTATCATTTGAAAAGAACCAACAGAATTAACAAAAGGAGTTAAAGATGATTCTTTGGTGTTTTATGTCTCATAATCCAGTTTTAAACGCCTCGCTGGCACACTACCTGCTTGCTGACGACCATTAGAAGTAGAGGAAGCAGGAGTTTGATCCTCTTGTGCTGGGCTGCCAGCAGGTTTGGCATGGTGCTGGAAGTTCACATGGAAAGCAGCTGATTCTTGCTCTCTTCGCTGATCCCACGCCTCATACCTCCTCCACCGACTCCTCAGGGCCCTTTGCTCATTCCAACTTCCTCCCGGCACAGTGGAAGGTCAAGGTGTGGTTGAACTCGCTTGTTCTTTTGCGTAAAATCCTTTTAAGAACCAGTGGGGGTTTTGGTTGGAGGGTGATCATCGAAAACCAAGGTGTGGTTCTCACTCTACCGGGTTTCCAGCTTTAGGTATTAAAAATGCCTTCTGGATCCAAAAATTCGTGGAGGGAGTGTTTGAAGGACATCTGAAAGCGGCTGGTCGCAGAGCAGGAGGGTTATCGGTGATGAAGACCTCATCTTTCCATGAGGAAGAGGCTGTGAAGGCTGTACTCCCTATAGACTCGGCTCAGCTGGGAGCAGACGGAGCGCCTCTCCCACCCCGTCAGCCCCTAACCAATCAAGACAAGTTCCTGAGGGAGCTGCCTGTATAACTGTACTCGCTGCTGTCCAGGAAAACTGATCACACAGAAGCAAATGATCACCTATAAAACCTACGATTAAAGGTTTATCATTCCCAGAACTACCAACTATTCAAAAAAAAAAAATCATAATACAGCCATGCAAGCACCAGTAAATACCACCTGTACTCTGTAGAGAGGGGGAATACACTGAGCCTTTCCTTCTGTTTAACTATCCCACTTAGTTAAGGGGCATCAAACAGCATCTCTGACACTAATGGGGATCTTTGTTTAAACCAAGTGCACTGAAGCCAAACACAGGGGAGAAAATGGAGGAGCAGAGCGCCAGAGGTGCCAGCGCAGGGCCGGATGTCGTGCATTAAACTTCTTTTACAAGCAGAAGCCTTTATTAATTATACAACAGTACATGCAAGATTGTTTCCGAGGAATAAGGTGTACTAACTATTTTTTTGGGTTGTTTTTTGGTGTAAATGTTTGCATACTGATGTCTAAACTAATATTTTTGTTTCAATTGCAGGTGCACAACAAAATTTGACTTTTTTTATTAAAAAAAAAAAAATCAAAAAAATTTTTTTTTTTTTTTTTTTTGACTGAGGACACTCTAGCCCTGATAATGAATCTCACTCTGCTAGTTTGGGATGAAATCAGTGAGATTGTTCTGTTTTTTGAAATATAAATACTGAAGAACCAAAGATTCTGCTCTATAACTTTATGTATACAGCTTCACTGTTGCCTCTCCAGTTCGGCCTGGCGTCTTCGGTGGACAAACAAAAACTTTAATTTATCCATCACAACTACAATTTCTAACATGATGGAAATAGTATTTGATATATCCCTCTCTCTTATTAAATCTACAATCATATCCTTTTGTTCACACTTAACGCAAGACTTTTAGTCTTACACCAGGCCACAAAGTGGTCCACCAGCTCTCTTTCCAAAGCCTGTTGTCCATCTCAAACACAAGCCACAACTGGATGTAGATGACTCTACATCCGAGATGTAGAGTCATCCAGGAGTTTGACTTGTACTATGAACCTTGTATCTACAAAGTGAAAAGGAATAGTGAGTGTACGGTCCCCTGTGGTGATCGTTTGTTCAGAAACTATCTTTTAATCTTCCAAAATGTCTCATTTTCATCAGGAAATTGTTGAGCCAACCGCCTATGAAACTGTAGTTTCTGGCATAAAATATCAGACCAAATTGTGTTGACTGCAATCTAATCTTGAGTTTAGCTTGCTTTCGCATAGTCCGTCTCCCTTTTGGAACACCTTTTTGTTGTCCAACAAGTCTTCCAGATCACTGGTTATCCATGGTTTATTATTGGAGAAGTATTCCACTATTCTGGAGGGGATGAGGTGTTTTCCCACATTATTTTAAAACCAAAAACAAGATCTGTTTTTCCAAGAGCAAGTCTTCTTTCATAAAGCAGCTGAAAACTGTTAAAATGTCAAAGACTGAGGTGTTGTTAAAATCTCCACAACTTGCCACTCACTCATTGGCATGTCACGTACTTTAACCACAGCTCCTGTTGCTAACATAGCACTTATCAACTCCTACTGTAGATAATATGAATACTTAAAGTTAACAGCTTAATATATGGACTGTTAAGACCCCGATTCACGTCATGTCTTGGATTACGCCATCTTTTGTTGACGAGCACTTCTAATCTTCCTTGCTAACATACTCACAAGTTATCAAGAAATGTCCAAGGCTTCAGCGGCCCTGTACACACAGAGACCAGCAAGGTATATCATTGTAAATTAAGAAAAAATGTGTGTTCACATGACAGAATGTTTGGGATGGAAAAAAGAACCCAAAGTAACGTTAGCTGACACCAGGGATTCTCTAAAAATAGCCTTCTGTAGCTCTTCAAGATGATTAAGGACAACAAAATCCTATTTTTAAAACCATTCCCACTGTAAATCATAGAGGTGGGTCAATGATTATTTTAGGGTGTGTGAGTGACACAGGCACAAGGAACTTGGTCAAAACTGATGGCAAGATGGAGACAGAAAGTTACCAGAAAACATTGGAGAAAAATTGGTTTTTGTCAACCCGATAAAAGCTGCATATGATGTTGTTGGATTTCCTACTATAACAATAATT